AATTTTGAAATACGGAGATTCAAAAAAGAATGAAACTGTCTTTATAATTTCTTCTCCTTAGTAGAGCACCCAAACCAGACCTCTTCAAGGCTCCAGCAGTTCAATTTCAAATTGCAACTTTTCTAGGCCCCAAATAATTGATGCAACTTAGGTCACTAGAGCATTTGGTGAGGGACTGATATTATGAAGCACCAAAAGGAAAAACAAACAAACAAACAAACCATTAATGAGGAAAAACTAGAGTAGTTGAGCAGCACAGGGAGTTACTGAACTAATCTTAATATTTCCATACCCTCGGAAAGTAGTAAATTTGTTCATCAGAGAAAGAGTGGAGAATACTTCAGCTGTGTGTCCATCACTGTATTAAACACTTTTAGTAAACTGTACATGTAGCACTTTTAAAAGCCCATTTGTACACAGCTCTAAAAAGCTTGTTTTGGCATCACATTTCCTTTCCATTTGCCTAATATCAAAATTAACTTGCATTCTTTGGCTGGAATACAGAAAAAAAAAACAAAACAGTGGGACGAGATGAACTCTCAGAACTAGATGAATGCAGAAGGTGTGGTGGCGAAAATGTGTGGAATAAATCTGTAGATAACTCCGGAGTTCAGTGGCATTTTATAAATATTTCAAAGGGGACAAAAAAAGACTCTATTTAAAGATCGGCTCGCTGAATGAATTCACCAGCAGCAACGAAATAATAGTAATCTAACCTCTTGGCTTGGGAGACATAGGTCAATCACTGAATAAGGCTGGCCACCACAGTCCCCGTGGCCAGCCCACCTGGACCGCTGCCCCACGCCTAAGGCGGGCGCCAAGCGGCTCCTCCTCTCACAAGCGACCAAGTTTTCCACTGGGCTCCGGGACCGGGACGTCCCCTCCTCCCGCGCCACCTCCACGGATTGGCTCTCCCTGACGTTTCGCTCTACCGTGAGCAGTGTTTGAAACATCTTCAACCCTCGTTTTTTTTTCAGCTACACGCACGGACGCAGCCCACGCCGGGAAGAGCCTGGCAGGCGGAATCTAAGGTGCCTAATCGCCAACCCTGCCGGGTAATTAATAAAACCGGGCACGACAGCAGCCGCGAGCCCGCATTCACACCACGCCTTGACATGTTTTGAAGCAGGCATCGCGGAAACGCCCCAAGCAGGCTCTAAGGTCTGGGCGCCGCGCCCGGGACCACGCCCCTGATCCGCCCTGCCGCCCACGAAGGTCAGCGGACCCACCCAGCCGCAGTCTGCAGCGGGGCTCCGGCCCCTCACCCCTCCGTAGTTACCTGTGGGGCGGCTTCCCCAGCACCACCCGGGCTCCGAGGTTGGCGGCAGCTGGTCGGCTCTCACATGAGGCCCCAAGGAGCCCCTTCGCGCTCCTGACCACGCTCAGCCGCATCGGGCACTGGTCCGCAGCGGACGCCAACGCGGCTCCACCTTTACTTCTGGCTGCTCCAGGAGAAGCCTCCTTTCTCAGTCCACGCAACCCGCGTTCTCCTTCCGGGACCCCTCGTAGCTGCAGAAAGCCTCCTTCGGCGAGCCATGACGGCCGCCGCGTAGGGCCCCGCCGCCTCAGCCCACACAGCGACTCAAAATGGCGCCTGGGCTCGCTGACCGCGCTCCCCGGCGCGTCTCCGCCCGTGGGGGCGAGCGGTAATCCGCCAGGGCGGGCCCGCGAAAGGAGGGGAGGGCAGGAGTGGAGGTCGCGCCCGCCGCGCGCCGCCCGTGCAGATGGGGGCCTCCGCCTCTTGGTTCCAGGAGGTGGGCAGCTTTCCTCCCTGCGACGCTTCACTGCTACCCATGGGGATTTTTTCCTTTGGAAAGCCAGTGTGGGAGGGCTGGAGCTAGGTGTGAGACTATCTGCTGTTGGAAGCGGAAGAAGTTTGGGGAGGTGGAGCAGGAAAGGAAAAAAAGGAGGGAGTGTCTCTGAAAGGCCTGCTGCATCCCAGCAGCTGGTTCTCAGGCAGAAAAGACAAACTGTAATGTGACCCCGCTGACATACTCTGCACCGCGGGCTCTGAGCCTGGAATGGCCACGACAGCACCACGGAACTCAAGGGAGTTAAAATACAGGCTCTAAAATTTACACACAGCATATGTACATAAGGTGTTCTTAAAAAACTGGAGAATTATCACTTAGAATGGTAGCGTAATAACACTGGGATTGCAAATGATTTTATATTTAAAAAATATTTGTATTTTCTAATTTTTTTAAAACAATTTTATCATCGTTATTACTTTTTAAAAACCACTTATAAGGAGACAAGACTCCTGGGACGCCTGGGTGGCTCAGTTGGTTAAGTGTCATCTTGACTTTGCACAGGTCATGATCTAAGTTCATGAGTTTCAGCCTATATGGGGCTCTTCCCTGATATGGAGCCTGCTAGGGATTCTCTCTCTTCCTCTCTCTTTCTTCCCCTTCCCTGCGCATGCTTGTTTGCTTTCGCTCATAAATCTCTCTCTCTCTCTCAAAGATAAATAAAAAAGAAAAAGTAGACTCCTGAAGTTTGTAAGCTTTCCTGAAACATATGGAAAGCATAAAGGACTAAATGTGGCTATTTAAAATAACCACAAGTGAAGCCTTTTATCTAATCCAGGCATTTTGTGTAAGTGCTACCAGCAACTTGTTTTTAACCACCAGTTTGGATTACTGGGTTTTCTTAAAATTGAAATGTCCTTACATACAAAATCCTTCTTGAATCATGTGTCATTCCTCCTTCCTCCTCAAGAATAAAAGAAAGTAAATTTTTCACCCAGAGGTCTTGTCAATGATCTGACCCATATGTAAGAGACTGGAAAAGCAGTGATGCTTG